ACCTTTGGTGATCCCATATTCTTCAAATGTGGTGTTCAAACAACCTGGATCAACCGAAAGAAACAACTCATTCCCCCCTTTCTCTTTGGTGATGACTCTCCCAATGAAAGTAAGAGACCCAGAATCTGTGATGTATCCGGTTGTTTTCGTGGGTACCACTGCTGAAATCACATCAACTACATACTGTTCCGCTTCTACAGTAGATGAAGCTAGTAGGATGTCATCCACATACACTACTGCTAAACACACTCCCAATTTGATGCCTTCTGCTGATGTGATCTCTCCACTGTAGACGCACGGCTCTTGCTCATCTGCCCACAATCCAGCCTGTTCGACGGTACTCGACAACAGCTGGAGCCAACAAAGCGAGGCATCTCTCAAGCCGTTCAACGCCTTGGACAAAATCAAGAAGCTGGGTTCTCCTGATTGTAGACTCACAACCTTTTGCGATGCCCCAATGGGGGAGTTCATAAACGCATGTCCAATGTCCAGACTCCGTAGTCTGAAATCTCGTGTTGAACTCAACGCCAAAACAAGGTGTAATGCCTCAATGGACGGTGTGGGGCTACTGTAGCCCAAACTTTTCGCAGTTGCACCGCGATTGAAATCCTTCGCAACTATCCTTGTTCTCACTCGCTGCTCATTCTTGTAGGCTGCAACCCATCTTGAATTGATGACACGGGTGTTCGGGTACGCTCTGGTCAACTCTTTGACTGTGGCCTCATCCGCAATGGTGCCCGTCCGACACTGCTCCAGATTGGTGATCTCTTCTTGCATGCTCTCAAAACCCTGCTCTAAGTTTAAATCCAACAATGTTTGGTCATCCACTATGCCGTCTGGTTTCCAAAGCAAAACCGTACTCTCGACCCAAAACCAATTAAACTCAAGCGCGCTCTCCAAACAATCAATGGCAGATTCCCTAATCTCGCGCTCTAAGTCTGCCGTGTCTACTTCTGCTGGTCGTTTGTTTTGAACACGCTCACCCCTCTCTGTGTCTTTCTCCTTGCGTTTCTGGGGTACCTCCTCTCCAACCTGCGATCCACGCGCAAGCTCCTCCTCTACGGGCGCTGGTGGAGGACTAACTCTAGGCTGCTCTTGTGACACACCTGACTTGCGATCCTCCTGAAACGCTTGGAACCTACGCTTACAGGCTGCAGTGTGGCGAACCCCGGGACAGTCCATACCTGTTTGGCAAGCTGGGCACAGCGGAGTGGGTGTAAATTGGTCTCCATGGGGCGTTGTCCTTGTTTTGACGTTTCGTTCAAAAATGGGACTTTCTGGGTCGTTGTTCACCGGCATCTCACGTTTTGCAAAAGCTGTTCTCTCTCTCTCTGTCTCAACAACCCGGTCTTCTGTCTTGTCTCTCCTTGTTTGTTCTGCGCGCTCTGGCAAATGTAGCACTGTTGTCTTTGCAGTTGGTGTCTTCCGTAACGCTCTAGTGGGCACTAGCTGTGGTGGTTCATGCATGTCTTGACTCTTTAACTTCTGCAATTCAGCTGGTGGCAAATCACTGAGGTCCTTGCTAGTGCCTGAACTCGCTTCCAGTGTTCTGTCGACAATCGCCTCTGGTGCTTTGTCAACAATCGCCTCACCACCTGGTATTGATCCTGCTTCATACGAGGCAATGACATCAACTCCTAACTGCAACTTCCAACTCAACGGTGTGATAGGACGGATGTTACGAGCAGTGAACCTGGTAAGCACTGGGCCTTCATCACTTCTAATAAGAGCTTGAACTATAGGGCCTCTAGTCATACCACTGTGGATGAAACATGCCTCGACGTTTCTCGTTTCATTTGGGCTCTTCTCCTTGATGCTATCTGGGTGGTCACAGGTCGAGACAGTTTCTTCCCAGCAATCATCTCAAGTGGACTCTGTTCGGTCCCTCTGGCTCGTGAGAAGTGATTATGGCATAGTGCACAGTAGGTTAGAACGTCTGTCAAACCGTCTTCTGAAAACACAATGTCAACAGATTGTAGGTTTAAATTTTAAATCAGCTCGGAGCGCCGCCAGGCTTTCCTTCAGCTCCCTGACTGCTCTTTCGGCACCGCCGATCGAGTGATGCTGTTGCGGTGCGGCTCGACGAATGACGAACGAATACGATCCGACCGAACGCCCGACGAGTTCGGCAACTCCAATCTCCGCGTCAGTGTGCAAAGTAATTGCAGTATGCTGTGACACAAGCCCAAAATGATCCAACCATGCTCCAACTTGTCGTTTCGTTTTGTCTGCGTTTGAGCTGATCACAACAAATCCTAAAGCTCCGGACATCATCTCAGTAAGAACTAGGATCCTGATCGCACGGCCATGTTCTTCTCTTGACGCTTCCCCAGTCTGACTGAGGTATGCAATGTCCGCTTGAAGCTCCACTTCCCGCTCAGTTCCGCGCTTTCTTCGGCGCTGAAACACCGCCCGAGCTCGAGCACATGCCAAACACCGAGAATCAAACGGAACGTGTCCTTGTCTCCGATGAATCGCTAAATCATCCTGAGTCCTCGTGAGCGGGCACAATGACAGACCTGATTGTTCGGTTTCAGCCTGAGTGTCACCGGAACAAGTTGCAACAAACCACTCTGGACGCATGCGGACCCATGGGCAATTTGAGAAGTAGGCAGTTTCCACGCAATGTAAGTTCAACTCGGTGTGGTAGAGGTCAAAACCGGCCGGTCCCTGCGTGAACCGCCATCCCGAGTTTGCCAATGAGGTCACGGACAAAATGTTGTGTTTTATGCTTCCCACAAGGACCTTCATGTAAGCCTTCTTCCACATGGATCTACCACCTGAGTCATCTGCCATGTACATGTGAACACATATGTCGGTAGTACCACACATACGAACTTGTGAACCATTAGCTGCACTGTACCTATCCATCATGTGTTCACTCGTCACCTGAGTGCCAAACGCTGTCAAGTTCGACTCTGCTAGAACCGACGTACTGGCCCCTGAATCCAAGAGCCACCAGGAAGCATCAGTGAGCTCACTCAATTGGGACAGCAATGGGTGGACAAGAGATGTAACCCTGTGAGACTGAGGATCAAACTCAAGTTGTCCATCAACAAGCAGGCTCCGAAATGGGCACACCGCAACTAAAGAGCTACTAAGTGCTGCACTGTCTGATGAGGTCTTTGCACAACTCTGAGCTCTCTGCACTGAACCCTGGTCCTCTTGCGTCTTACGAATGCCCCAAACCTCTTTGAAACAACAGTGGTCAGACCCTTTTGGGGCATTCCAGTTCCCGGTTTCACCTACATGTCCAAACAGCTGCGGCCCTGGAGAGACGACAGTAGTCACGTGCGGCTGCATGTCCTCGCTCACAAAACAAAAGTAAACTCGTGTTCAAAAGATTCAGAAGAAGGATGGTCGACATTCTCATGCGCGCAGCTCCTCATCAAGGGGCTCAGCAACAAACTACCAACCACGGTGTTGGAACTCTCTTGGCCACGGCCATCACCATCACCCCAATGGGTTGTTTCCCAGTGGGCTGCTTCCCAACTGTTCTCACCAACTTCTTCCATCCACGCTCAAACTGACCCTGCCAGGCCGACTCTCTCGCATCGTCCAACCATGAGGGATCTTCAGGCCACGCTTCGGAGTGCCAACCAACACTGCTCCAATCCGACCAATCCCAACATGATGGCTCTTCGGCCAATTCATTGAGCTTACCTTTCTTCCCTTTTCCTTTCCCTTTGCCGGGTTTCACCCAGTGATCAGACTTGATCACACCAGTTGATTTCCATTTTTTGCTACAATTCATGCCTACATGGCCAAAACCACCGCACCGAAAACACTTGGTCTTTGACAAATCTACTGTACATTCTGTAGTACCGTGTCTTCATGAACCACACTTCATGCACTTGTTCTGGTTTTGACTCACTGAATCAATCATTTCGTCACCAACCGAAAGATCAAACTCCTGTGGAACCCTATAGGACGATGAACTTCCTTGCATAGCTGCCTGTACCTTTTTGCCTCCTAGACTAGCACCATAGTCCCCAAAAAGCCGCTGTTGATCTTCCCATCGCCTTCCAGCTGTCCAGCAATAGATCCGATTCACCAATTTTCAGTCCGGTTGTGTCAACATGCGCCGGCAAAGTACCCAACAACTTGGAGAATTTTGCAACTTCATAATCCAGTTTCCTAATAGTGTCAGATACCACGCTACTAGTGCTTGTCTCTTGGGGCGCCAAAACAAACGAACGGGCTGACAAATTCGCACGCAAGCTGAGGGCTTCTGAACGACTCCGATCGAAAACTCAAGGGTGAGCTGTCTCACCAACTCGTACCCATTCGCGGGTTGAGCCAAGACACCTGGAGTATAGCTTCCACCTGTCAACGACACTCCTTCACAGAATGCACCAATCAACGAATTCACGCGATGATGATCCTTGAATGCACTACGAATAATGGCCAGAAGACGCTTAGCCCTTGCCTGTTGAGACACATTCAATGAGTTCCATGAAATCTCCCGTGGCCATCGTGAAGCGTGAGAGATTTCAACTGAGAAATCCAGGCTCGCTTGTGCGGCCCATGCCGTCAAATCATCCATGTAGCTTGCCCACTGCGCGATCTCATCTTCCCGCGTCCTCCACTGCGTCATTGTAGGAGTCGGCGCGGGAGCAAGCCATTTTTCCGACTTCGCAAAGATATCTTGTTTGGACCCCTCCAGTCAAATCTGCACCACAAGGACTAAAGGGGATTGGCAAACCACCACCTCCCATCGACGGAAGGAAAGGATCATCTGAACTACGTTCACCATAAGCACCAAACCTCTCGGGCACCTGCCTCCTCTGCTGAACAGTAACGATCCGGTCGCTCAACAACTGCTGAAGTGCTTGAATCTGGGTGTCATCCCAGGTTCCAATGACTCCAACCACTTCTTGTGAACTAAGAACTGAGGGACTCACGCCTCCAAGATGTCCACCAGCTGACCCTGACCAAGACAGGATCTGGACCATTAGGGCACTGACCCTGCAAACCATGTCTTTCCTCCCATGATTGACTCATCGCACATCCACCAGGCATTGGCGGGACTCGACCCACTGCTCCTCTGGGCAACCACTGGGCACCGAACCAAGCTGGTCCACCTGGGTACATGTTGTTCAGGCCTTGAGCACCTACAAACGTTTGTGTCTGTCTGTCACCTTGCTGTGGTTGTTGTTGCGCAAACAAACCTGGCACGCCAGTGACCTGCACAACCTCCTAGAGGAAACGAGGTGGGCACACTGCTGCTCGCGAACCTTGTGAACCTTGCTGTGAACCTTGCCTTTGCCTGCTGTGCTGACTCTCTTTCTACAGACCTGGGCTCAGACAGCCCTGTTGAACCTGTTTTTTCCATGAGTACGGACGCCGTGTGGGCGGAGTGCCCAGGTCATCAATGAAGGGAAAGGAAACACACATGATGAGGGGGAAAAGAACACAAGCAACCCCAAAAGCCAAAAACCAACCAAACAAGAACCCCAAACACAACCAAAAGGCCAGAGGCCGAATCCCCCTCATCTAAAAGTGTTTCCTCTGCGCGAAGGTGAGACAGGTGAGAAAAGTTGGCTGTAAACTATCTATGGGCCTGAATTCGCAACGAAGTCGGTCTGAAGGGTCAGCGCATGAGCTGAGTGCAACGATGCCAGTCAAAGGGGCTTCGCTCCACCCTCAAAACTGTGACCAAACAGCCACTGCGTCGAGTGGCGAACGTGGTAATTGGGTGCTTTGCAGGAGCTGCACTGTTTGTCAGCAGGTCTGATTCTTGCCCAAGGATATCAGTTGTTGCCCTGCCTGGCACGCCGTGGAAAAGTCCCTTCTCGTTGCACAACCCTTTCAACTGATTGCACGAACGAAGCGAGAGGCATATCAGTGGTCAGGCAGCGGAGGCAGAGGCAAACGAAGAGAGCTTGCTGACTAGGATGCTGCAATCCCCCCCGAAGGGAGGTCTCCTTTGCACCCTTCTCTGTTCCTGAAAGAAAGAGAGGAGCCAACGTGAAAACATCCTTCTGTTACGTGCAAGGTGCGTGTGAAACAGGTCGAAAAACTCCGGGTAGCAACCTTACACGGTAGACTACCTACCTCCCCTGGATCTTTAGCTCACAACAGGCTCTCTCACACTCGTCCGGTACGGTATGAAACCTCTCCTTCCAACCTCCGAATACTTCGGAAAACTTCAAACGCTGCACAAGCTGCTCTCAGACACTCGCACCCTTTTCTCACACTAGCCAAACGAATTGGCCTTGAGCCAAAACATATCCCGTAGCACTAAACTATACAAAGAACACACAATAACATATTAAAAGTCTCTTAAAGCATCTCCACACACAAAGAACTCTTTCAAAACTTCCGACTACGCTACAAGTCGCTTTCAAACAATTGAGAAACAAAATGTTGTACTACCGCCAGGTTCCAAATCTTTCACAAACAAACTTAAACAAAATTTATTCATCGCAAACTGCAAGCATCGAGCGAGGTGGACATCCCGACATGAAATCTCTTCACCCCCTCTTGGACACAAAGCTCGAAACGAACTGGCTGGCTTTAAGCCTTCTTATTCTTCTTCAATGAGGACAGACATTTGGCACAAATATCTTTCGACATAGGTACGTGCATGCCCGAGCAAGTTGGATTCAAATGAACCTTGCTCCCACTCACTGAAAAATACACTTTTGAGCATTGCTCAATGCCTTTTGGAACTGGATAGCTCTTCGGCATATCGACTTTGAAAGTCACTTGGCTCTCAGGCTCAGCATGCTTCCGACACCGCAGGCAGCAGCAGGTCAGCAGGCATCCCAAAAGAAAACCGGCTGCAAAGACCAAAGCGGTCGCTGCTTCCAGGCTCAGCATCGCAAGCGCCGTTTCCGCATCCGGCATCATACCTCGGATGGTATAAGCTTCATTCCAAGAAAAGCTGTATCTCACAGTCTGCAAAACCAAGATTCTTTCGAAGTGTGCAATCGAAAGTGCTCGCAAAAACGTGCCATTCGGCTCAGACGACGTGCAAGACTTACTTGGCTATTATGACTCTAATTCGGCTTTAAATCCTTTAAGGATTAGCTCGCAAAATCTCCTGGGGTAGTGTTGCGTTTCCTTCCAATTGACTTCCTTGGATGGCAAATGATCATGACGACCATCACAAACGCAAAACTTCAGGCTTTCCAACAACCGAGTACTATCTGTCTCAATCCTCCAGGTCTTTCTGCCCAACTGACCTTTCTGGTTCAACTTGACTGAACAAGCATCCACAAATGTTGAAAACGTCTTTCGTTTCCTCAGAAAATCTTTAGTCTGATTCCATCCCCAATAAGCACATCTCTTCGGCCATTCAATCGCTACGAAATCGGCTACTTCCGACATCCGTAAGAAACCTTTCCATAGCTTCTTCTGTATCTGGTACAACTCTCGAAGATGACCCATATAGTCCTGACCAAACTTCTTGATACAAATGTACTGAAACGGACATCCTCCTGTACACGGAATCGACGACCACAAGACAACAAGCTTTCCTCTCTTCCGGTGGCTTATCATCTGCTCCCGAATTGACTCGATCGTGTCCGATCGGGTTCCGTCATCCGCCTCAGTGACAGTCAAGACTTCAACACCTTCCGTACGGCTTCCGACTTCTTTCATCTCGGACTCCGGTGATGTGCAAAACTCAACAATCAGGATTTCGGTACATGTGACCTTATCCATAACCCACAACCATCTCCCGATCCAGTCATATGGCACTTCAAATGAAATGAGAAATGCTCTGACAACTCCGATCGTCTCCATATGTTGTAAAGTCACAGCTCTCGACAATGCCTTGGTCATCAAGTCGGCACAATTCTCGGTACCTCGGACAAAGCTGATGGAAATCACTCCCTTGTAGACTGCATCTTGCAAAAAACAGATCCGAATGTCTATATGTCTTAATCTTCTCAACAACCCTGACATCTCTGTGACATTTCGGGCTGCCATCGAATCCGTAAGCAAACCTGGAATGGGCAATTCCTCAGCTTGACATCCATAGACATGTGCCACGGCATGTTGAATACCTATAGTTTCTTTCGCTCCTTCGAACAAAGCATATAGCTCTGCCTCGGCTGAACTACAGGCTACACTCTGCTGCAACCTACTGAATGCTTTGACACAACAGTCACTAACGAAGATGGCTGCTCCTGAAGTACTCTTCCTATTGGTGGACTTTTCGGCTGCCCAACTGGCATCGACATAGGTCGTAATCCTTGGTGGTCCTGAGTACTCATAGCTCCTGAACTTCAACTTTCGATCGGCTACTGATCGGATGTAACGGATACTCGCACGCATCGCGGTCTCGTGTACAGCTAGCGGCTGAGATTGACCTCGGGCAAGCATCGAACACAACCAACAAAGATCAGGTCTCGACTGAGCTACCCAACCTAGCTTACCTAATGCGGTTCGAAAGGTTGCTGCTGCCTCGGGTGACAACGGTTTCCGATCCTCTTCTCGATCACGATAATAAAGCTGAAACAAATTGGGGGTTGCCTGACTTTCCTTTCCTCCTGGATACAAGTTCATCATACCTTCATAGTACTCTTTCTCCATGTACAAGGCAATCGTTCCATCTTCTTCCTTTTCGATCACCTTTCCCAGAAAACGAATTCTGTCTTCTTCAAGCTTTCCGGTGACTTTCAGTCTAAGCTTCTTTGATAATTCATCAACGAGCTTCTGAATATTTCGATCGTCTCCGACAACCAGCAAATCATCAACATACATCAGAACGATCAAGTGATTCTCCTCCTCCGTCTCTGCAACTCCTTTTCTGTATCTTCCGGCGAAGATTGTCTTTTCCGTCACACATGCTGTCAAACCTTCTTGATCTAACAAATCGGCTAGGTGACGATACCATGACATTCCTGCAGAACGAAGTCCGTTCATCGCTTTCTCAAGAATGACGAACAAAGGCTCTCCGTCTTCATCTTCCATCCCAGTCGGCAACGAAACGACCGCTGGGTGAATCACGGGGGCATGCAAAAATGCTGTACTTACATCTAAAACCCATGCTGTCTTTCCTACTCCTCCTCTCTTTGATTTCTTTCGAAAACTTGATTTTTGAGCAAGATAAGACAACACAACCTTCAACGCCTCTGATGACGCTGTAGGGCTCGAAACGCCCAACTCGGCTGCTGACGGACCTGTGGCGAAATCACGGACAACAAGTCTCGATCGAACGATGTCTCCTTTGATAGCATCATGCTTATTTACAACTACCCATCGGGTTGAGATGATTCGGATACCATGCATCTGGCAATACTCTTGCGCTTCATCTTTATTCACGACCTGACCTGTCCTGTGCTTCTCTAGGGCAATGACCTCTGTGTGCATTCCCTCGAACGTGGCATCCACATCTAATGGACCTTCACCTATACCTGAAGTCGCTCTTGATGGCTTTCGGAGTACAATCCATCTACCTCCAAACCACACTTTGCACGAATCGGCCTTCGCGTCGAACTTGGGCTCCTCGGTTTCCTTCGGAACCTTCCTGCTATATTCAAGTACCCCCTCTTGAACTGATGACAAGAATCTCTCAACCTCATCATCTGAACATCTTGACAAGGGGTCCTTAACCTTTTCCCACAACTCTTTACCTAGATCTGATAAGCTCGCAATGGCATTACCTTGATGATCATACATGTAGAGCTGCTTGATTGGCAATTCGGTAAACCCTTTCCAATGACGCCTCAATGGCGCGGTCTGGGTTCCGAACTCGCTGACATGGACCTTGAACTGGTCCCTTGGAATCTCATCGACTGGCCTTTCATCAACAGCATCGACGTAGTACGTCCTCTGAATACCTACCAGCTGATCCTCAGGCATCGGCAATGGCAGTGATGATGCTGCAAAAACACATTTTCGACTTCTGTGGTGAACTCTTCTCAACACAAGCTTGTCAAGGTCAACTTCCCAATGGTCATGATTTCGGTTCTTTCCTCTTCTTGGGATTTTCTGGAACAAATCAATGTCCATGGGACTCTCCCCGGGTGATTCGGGTGCTCTGTACCCTTCCGGTACTTCTGTTGGCTCATAGCCTTCACTCATCCGATCATCCTCGATAGGTTCCGGATTCTTTACGATCTCATATGGATTTGTTGGATCCTCTTGCATTGGCGTCGGTTCGGTATCCGCTTCCTGTCCCTTTGGCGCATGGAACGGAACATCATCAAACTCTGGAAATCTCTCTCCAGTCTCTTTCTCTTCATGCTCGCGATGAAATCTATCCCACTCATCATCGATAGACTTTCTTTTCCTCTTCTCTCGTTCTGACTCTGATTCTGGAACTCTTTCTCCCGACTCTTGCTGAGATTCAGGCTTTCCTTCGGTATCCAAGCCTTCTTCCAATCCTTCAGGCACGACGGGCACAGACGACTCGTCTTCGATCGGTACTATCCGTTTGTACTCTTCTTCAAGATACTTTTTGTAACGGTTCCGACACTTCACTGAATGACCTGTTTCACTCCCGTTCGAACAAGCTGGGCGTCTCGAAGTCTTATTCACTTCACTCCAATACCAAGGTGGTTCCCCTTCATGGATGGGCAAATCAACCAATTTCTGGGGTTTCGAAAGATCATTCGGTAGTCTTTCAATCCTGTCTGGCTTCACTCCACTCTTGGAATTTGGAATTTCACACAACATCCCAAGTCCAGCGACAAAACGAATCGGTGAGGCAATCTTCAAGTCTCGAACAGGCACAACCACAGTCTCATCCTGTGAACCTTCGAAGGCAACGAAGTGACCTAACGAAGATAACTTTGGGGTCAAGTAAATGCCTGGAACAAAGTGACGAGTGTTTGCTTCTCTGACCTTTTCTAAGTACCCATCAGTCGGCCTGGCAAAAACCAAACATCCAAATGGCATCACACGATTGGTGTTTGGGACTTCTCCTGAACTAGTTACACTGATGCGCATGCGTTGATACGGTGTCAGCGAACTGTTGGCTTGCAGCTGAAATGCATTGTGGACATGGCAAGCGTTTGCTGCGGCGTATCGAAGGCTTTCACTACCTAGCATCAACCAGTGCTGGTACAACACTGTACGAATACATCCTAGTTGAGTCTTGAGGGTCCTAACTGCTCTCTCGGCTCCAGTTGCGTGTCTTCCTGGACGACTGGTCTCATGCCTTGAGACTACCTTCAATCGAATGAGTTCAGAAATGAGCGCAGTCAAGTCACGGCCTTCATCACTG